GGCAGAATGCCCATGTAACTTCCCCACAAAATGTCCATTTCCTGACCCCTAGAACCTACAAATAGGTATGTTATGAGGGGTTAAAAAAAAAAAAAAGACTTTACAGATGTAATTCAGTACCCAGACCTTGAGATGGGGAGAGGATACTCAATTAGCCGGATGCAGATTACCCAATCCCATAAGCCCTTTAAATCAGACGACTTCGTCCAGAAGGAGAAGAGACCAGCAGAAGCCAGAGACTGGAAGCCGGAGAGGGAGCTGAGGGCAGCCCCACGAGGAGGCGGAGCGCCGGCTGGACTTCTGACCCAGAGAACCAAGACGGCCCAGGTGTGCTGTGTAAGCGGCCACGTCTGCAGCTGAGACAGGAAACCAGTCTGGGGAGGGGAGAGGACCTAGCTTTACACCTGCTGCCCGGAGCAGGACCGGGAGCCGGAGCGGGCGGAGCCCTCCCAACACAGCACGTGATACACCGGAAACCCTTCATGGGCTTCAAGTTGTTTCACCCCCGAGAGAGCACAGACGCTGGGCCCGCAGAGAGCCTTCCAGAAAGCTCTGCGTTTTCCTGGAGGAAGCAGGGGTCCCTGCTGGATGAGCAGACTCTGAGAACGAGGAAGGAGGGAATCAGTGAGTTCAGTGCAGGGAAATCCTTATCTCATCAGTTTCCCTACGTCCTTCGAGGGTTTAATGCTGAGGCTTTTCACTGAGTTCAGCTGCCTCATGCAGCTATTTCTTTGGGGAAAAAAATACATTTTTCATTGTTTAAATAGGGAGTTAAAAAAATCAATCTACATAACAAGGCCATTTTTAAAGGCTAATTTGGTGGAAATCATAGGAAGAATGTAGAAAATCAGTTTTTCCCTCCTAGTGTGGACCTGAGGTCTTTTCTATTTATATGCAAATATCAGACGCCTGAACCCGTTTTATGTTTTGCAGTTTTGAAATACGGCCTATTTCATAAACGTTAGATTAATGAAGTCCTGATAAGATAGTGAGGGCTTTAAGAAAGCGGTTTAGGAGATGCATTCTTAGAAGTACATTCTCCAACAGATACTTCTTTGTATTAAGCCACAAAGAGAATTTTAACTTTTAAATGTGATCTATTCTGGGTTTTTTTTTTCTTTTTTTGCGTTGCTCTAAGAACACGTTGATCCTTGCTTAAAGAAAAATAATGAAATGTGACATTTAAAAAATAGACACCAGCCTTGTAGCAGCAAATCCAAGTAGCCGATACTCCAGCTTTGCTTGGAAATGTCTGCAAACTTCCTTTATGTAATGACCTTCTGTTCAGAGAGTCTTTTCTTAGTTCTGCAGTATTTCCCTGGGTTCTAGTTGATTGCCTGAGCTTTAGGCGTACTTAACTCCCCTCCTTGAAGAAAAATATGACGCAGATTAGCTGAAATATCTGTTTTTAATCTACTGCCACATCATAATAAGTTGCAAAGCGCTTTGGTTCAGGCAGAAAGATGATTTACCCTAGAGAGTGGCTATTTGGAGAAAAGTCGGCCTGATTTGTAACCACCTTGCTGCAGGAAGGCCGCGCAAGTGAATTCAGCCTTATTTCTATGGCTCCGGAATAGGGCCAGAACATAAGCCAAAGAGAAAACAAGAAAGGAGGCCTTAGACTGGTGTTCCGGGTAGATTTCAAACCCAGAGGCCGGCTGGGGAGGGCGGGGCTGTTGATGGAGGTTCTGCACGGACTTCAGACCCCGCCTGGCCGGCCACATGCAGCATGCTTCCACCCCCACTCCTGGCAGCCGGCCATGCCGAGTCTGAGTCATGGGTGTGTTTGCTTGCATATTCAGGTTAAAAAAAAATCTTTTTTTTAATTTAAGTATAGTTGAATTATAATGCTGTGTTAGTTTTTGGTGTACAGCATAGTGATTCAGTTATACATGTATATACATATTCTTTTCCATACTTTTTATCACTATAGGTTATTATAAGATATAGAATATAGTTCCCTGTGCTGTACAGTAGGACCTTCTTATCTATCTATTCTGTACATAGTAGTTTGTATCTGCTAATCCCAAACTCCCAATTTATCCCTCCCCCCCTTTCCCCTTTGGTCACCGTAAGTTTGTTTTCTATATCTGTGAGTTTATTTCTGGTTTGTAAAAAAGTTCATTTGTGTCATTTTTTTTAGATTCCACCTGGAAGTGGTATCATATGATATTTGCCTTTCTCTGGTTGGCTTACTTCATTTGGCATGATCATCTCTAGGTCCATCCATGTTGCTGCGAATGGCATTATTTCATTC